TGGAGTGATATGTATTTCTCTTATTTGTTTGGATAACTTAAGTGGAGAGAAATGAGAAGAAATGGAGAGGAATTGAAAGAAACTCATTTCTCTTATAAGCCTCATTTTCAATCTTCTCAAAAATAGAGAGATTGGGAGAGAAAAGAAACCACTATTTTCATAATATCAATTTTGTCCCTATAAAAATAAAAGAAATAAAATGATTGAAAATATAAAAAGGTTATTTTGGTAATAGAACATAAAATAATTTCTTTTATTTTCTCTTAATGAAACTTAACCAAACAAGAATGAGAAAAATTACAATCATTTCTTTTCTTTTATTTCTTCCTTATCCAAACAAAAAGGAGAGAAATCACAATCATTTCTTTTCTTTTCTTTTCTTTTATCTTATTACTTAAGTAATCATTTCTTTTCTTTTCTCTCCTAGGTTCTCAAACATAGTGTAAGTCTGGGACAGATAGGGTGTGATTCTCTATGGTCGCATCTTCCTCGTTAATGGCCCCGTTTGATAGAGCTGTGGAAAAGTAATTATAGATTATAACTTAACAGATTATGATTTATAACTGTGAACATAAGCTATTAACCTGTTTGGTGCCGCTATAGGATTATAGACTTAAGCAGCTAAATAGTGTTTGGTTAATAAATTATAAAATAACTTTTTATTGTATAATTGTTCTTTTTGCCCTTATATGATATAAAAATGATTATTTTGTCATTTTTTTCAGTTGTAATTTAAAAAAATTATCTCATTAATAAAGTTAATATAATTAGTATTACAAAAATTATCATTTAATTAATAGTATCAATTAGTGTAAAATTAATGGCTTGATTAGTATGAATTAATACTAAAATTATTAATAATATCAATTTTAGAATAAAATTATTTTATTTTTTCATTATAAATTAATTAGTGTCAATTAATGGCTTAATTAGTATCATTACTTTTTTTTATTGAATTTATTAATTCATTACAATTAATATCAATTGATATCTATGTATTTATAATAATATTGTAATGTCTTTACATATTATTTTTCTTTATATTAAATTAATTATGTGTAATGTTGTAATATCAATTTCTTTCGATTAATGTTGTGATGTCATTACATATTATTTTATTTCAATTAATTTTGTATTAATTCTGCGTAATGTTGTAATATCAATTTAAATTAATTCTGTTTTTATTAAATTTTTTTCATTACAATTATTTTATTTCTTTTTGAAATAAATTGTTTTTCATTTTATTTTGAAAAGTAAATATTAATTTTGAAAAGTAATTTTTTTAAATTTTTTCATTTTAAAAATTAATTCTGTTTTTAAAATTTTTTTCAATTTTTTTTTTTCTAGTGTTTCAACGCCACTAGCGAACAGTCGCCGGTGGCTAGGGTTTCAACGCAGATCAACGCAAATCGCGATCGTGACGGTGACGGAGACAAACAACGCAGATCGAGAGAGAGAGAGAGAGAGAGAGAGAGAGAGAGAGAGGAATGGCGGTTGTTAGGGTTTCATATCGCAATCGTGATCGCAAAGAGAGGAAGAGAGAGCATAGAGCAGATCGTGATCGCGATGGCGGTGGTTAGGTTTCAGGTCACAATCGCAATGGCAATGGTGACAGGAGGTTCGTGAAAGAGAGAGAGGAAAGATAGTGGTTCGTGAAAGAGAGCTCTGGTTTGTTCGCTAGCAGCCCCTATCATCAAATCGAGTGAGAGCTTACTGGAAATTGCCGCCGGAAATCGCCTCTCCAGTTTTTGTCTCTCAAAGAAATGAACAGTGATTGAGATTGGGGGTTTATATATTGGTGTTTTGGTAATACTTAAAGTTGATGAGGGGCATTTAAGTAATTTTACCCCTTCCTTCCCAACTTGCCATTTAAACTGATTTAGAAAAGTACCCCCATAGCCACTTCAAGAAAAAGTTAATTTTTGACTTACAAAAAATTATAATCTGTATTCTTAAGCTATACCAAACACAACAAAATAGCTTAAATTAAGCTAAAAGCTGAAATAGGCAGCTTATAAGCCTTACCAAACAGGCCCTATCTATCTACCCGCTAATTGCTTAATTTTATTATTATTTTTTTTTTGATAAATTATAAATACACCCTCTGAGGTTTGATTAAATTATAAATTGTTCCTTATAGTTTTGAAAATTACATTTCTCTCCCTGAATTTTCAATTTCATAATAAATCGCCCCTTATATTAATAAATCATCAAGTCAATTAACTATTTTTAATGATGTTAGAAATATGTTTCAATTAATAATTTAAGTAATTTTATTATTGTATAGAAGAGCAATTATGAATTTCATTTTTTTAGTTAATTATGTTGAACAAAAAATTTCTAACAATAGGGTATTTGTAATTTTTCAAGTCATAGAGAGCAATCTGTATTTTAAGCAAACTTCAAGGGCTGTATTTGTAATTTACTCTTTTTATTTGGTCACTAATTGCTTAGTTATGAAGCCAAATTGCCTATATGAGAGCATTTCCAATGGTATTTGTCAATATAACGCCCCTAAAATATAACAATAAATCCGATCCTTATAACAGAATGTTAATAGAAATGATATGCTTTCATTCATCAGAGTTCGTATTACCATATGCAGTATACATTCATTAATGTTCATCTTGAATCTATAGCATGTACTACCAGTTAATAACTTACAAAAAATAAATGCCCTAAGGGCTTACACTTTTCCAAGACATTATTTGGTTACAGCAAACAGAAGAGTCTAACTCAATACAATTTAGCCATTGGCTGCACAAAATAAATAAAACAAAAAGAATCTCTTCCTCCAAGTCTCCCCAAATTACTATCTCGGTAGAGGCATGTCTCCAACACTTGAAAATGGTTCCTGTACGGGGAGCAAATATTCTAGCATGCCCATACTCCTTTCTACCAAGCTCCTCGTCTGTCCGATCGACTTGCGAACATAACGGCGGTGAGCTACCCGGCGGTGTGGCCGAAAAACCCCTCCGACGGTCAAGTTAGCACACACTCAGGGATATATATATATATAGAGAGAGAGAGAGTTGATCGTTCAAGTGTTTCTTACAAAATGATCCATCCCCAGCATGGGGGGCGCAGTCAAGCTTATATACTCTCTGCACTCCAAATCTGCTCCCATTAGTCTCTTGACACGTGGTGCTGCTTTTCCATCTGTCAGCACAAATCCAGCGAACACCACCTAACCAAACCGCCAGACAACATTAGCGGGAACTCGGCAGCCTGGCGGCATCACACGGCCTCCTTCGACCGAGCTACTTATCGAGTTCAACAGTGCCACTCGCCGAGCTCTATCACAACCGAGCTCAGCAGCACTCCGGTGCGACTGTGCTCTAGACAAGTTAGGCCAGTCTACGACAGATCACGATCACCGAGCTAAAAAGAGCGAACAAGAGAAGACAAGCTGGCAGAGGATCTTCTCGGCTAACTCTGGTCTGGATTTCGGCCAAGCAAACTTCACCTCGGCTCGGCCCAACCCAGCTCGGCCCAAATACGCTTGAACCACATTCAGCCCGGCCAGAACCGCGGCCCAAGCCGAGATTACGAAAATCTCCCTCTCAATTGCCCCTTAATTCCGTCTACGCTAGCGTGACTGGGATTACATTACAAGGCCAGGCTATACTTTTTGCTCGGTGATCCACTTTGCT